ATTCAAATCCATCTAAAAATACATGCATTTCGAGGAATGCAAGATAGCCTGAAAATCCTAGGAATTTAAAGATTGCCAGCAATCTGATGAATCAAAAGAATCTGTGAAATATGAAAAATTTGAGAATTCCATGGAATCGCCGAAATATTATGAATCAATAGGATCATAGGAATTCAAGATATACATCCTCCAAGGGTAAAGCATAAAAACGACGAATGCCCCATAAAGAAAACATCTCACGACGAAGAATGTAAGGACAAATTTTGAAAAATGTTCTTTATCAACAAATGGCTGAGAAAACAAAAAAGGGGATGCCATATGGTTTTTCTTGTCGAGCTTCATCACTTATCGACGTGTCTCGATACTAAATTTCGTGGTGTCAAAGACAGCATAGGAGATCTATCGACGAAAACGCATCTATTGGATTGAATCACTTTATAAAATGTAAAACCCTCGTTTGATAAGAGTAGTTTTCATACAACATCCAGGGTTTCCACGACCACTTCGTTCTACGAGTGGATGCAGCTGAGGAAAACTTAGCATGCAATACAAGAGCCAAGTGTTAAATTTCAATCCTCTGTGGATCTCCTGAAATCTCATCTTATCACGTTTAATGTCGTAAACTAACATGCCACGAATATATCAGATTTACTTTTTGACAGGAACCAGAGAACCAAGAGATTCTAGGAACTCTAGGAACTGACGAAAGAGGTTTCATGAGAAGAATTTTCAGAACTCCACAAACTGTACGAACTATGGAAAATTCCATTAAATGAAGAAACCTAGAGATTCCAAGGATATCAACGAAGTCTAGGAACTTATTGAGACAAAGGAAATCAGGAAACACAACAAATCGTTAGTAGACAAAAATCTGAACGAATTCAGAGAAATAAAGAAAGTTATGGAACCCTACAAACTATGCCAGTAACATGATCTTTAGGAACTTAAGTGTCTTCGAGCAATCAAAGAATCTATGAAACCGAAAGTAGCATGATAGCGAAAGGAACTTTAAAAAATGAAAGATTCACAAGAATCTTTGGATCAGTATTGATAAAAAAATATTGAAAAAAGCAAATCAAACGCTTTTGCAACGAGTTCTGTTCATTTTCTTATTTTAAATTTATGAAAATTTGAACTACCCATCACACAAACGTTTACTTTGCCACTGAAATCTTTGTGGAAAAAGATTAAATACGAAATAAAAACTGATTGATTTCAACCAACAAGAAAAAACTATATACACTTATATGTAACATGTGAATGTATGATCGCTTTATCGAAATGCTCAAAATATAAGGTAATCCACTAATGTAGGTATATTGATTTCTAGTTCTAGATTCAACTGTTCTAGTCTCTTCTACTAAAAAATCCAAGGCGTTGATATAAGCAACAACACATGTTCCGTTTACATGGCTTAAGAAAAGTTGATCATAATGTAATGTTGGAGACAACGCATCGCCAATCTTCGAGAAAAAGATAGTTGTTTTCGAGAAAAAGTCAAAAATACGTTTCTAAATAAAGTGAGGATTTAGGTGCATTATGTTAGTCGTCCTCTTCGAACAACCCTTTTATGTACTGTCGACGTTCGAAGAGAAAACAATCACACCTACATTGGTATCCTTCAATGAATGAACGATAACAAAAATCTAATTCGTTACTGAATGACGATAGAATGATCGCAAAATCATATTTTGTTTCACATTGTTACTCGTTGTCCAATTAGATCAGGATGTTCAAGTAGTTCTAGTTAATTTTAAAAGTCATTTCCAAGAATCATTCGGGAAAAGATGCGAAAATTCAATAAAACTAGCTAACCTCCTGATTCGAGTTAGTGTGAGAGTACTAAATTTCCTTACAGAACAATATCTTTGGATTCTTTTTAGTTAAAAAATGTTCAAATACTTTTGCTGGGATATTATGATAGAAATGGAAAGACGATGAAAATCTTATTCTGATATAGAACATGCGCTTTCTGTCAATAGATAAATTATGAAATTTATCCGAAAGGACCGTGTTATTCCACATGCGCGAACTATAGGCAAACGAGAAAAGTTCTTCAAAAATTGATCATATCATCTACGAATTCTTTCTGTGAGTATAGTGCGCCTGAGAAAGTACGGCAATCGTATTCACATAACTGTCATCATCACTAATCTTGCTGAAAAACATAATCAACAGTCACCTACCTTTAACTGTTGAAGCACTGATTTCCGTAACGAGAAACTAAAAAGCATGAGATATTTAATGAATAGTCGTTTCCTACAATGGTTATCGTCTAACCTTCTTGTTGGTGGGGAAGAATTCAGTGTTTACGGCGCTGGCGGCTGCTGCAGCTCGATCGTTCTATGAACAAAAGAAGATAGGTATGAAAAAAAAAATGATACTAAGAAATTATTCGAATTACTTGAACCTGACTGACGTGTGTCGCTTTGTTTGCTTCTGTTATGCCAGCACCAGTCATTGTCGGAGCACCTGGAATTCAAAACAATCACATATTTCTTAATAGGCTTTTAGTGTCACTTTCTATAAAATTCAATATGCTTTTACTGTTTAGTGGCTTACTCTAAGTCGAGACGGATGCCACGGGTTGTAACATACGAAATGGCTGCTTCTTTCAGACTGAAGATGTGAACAAAAGACATGAGAGTGCGGGTGGTAGAGCGTATCAGGGTTTAGTGTGAAAGTATTAGATTTTCTCTTTACTCTCACCCACCCTCACATCCTCATCCACACCCTTAAAGTACTAGCGATACTACTTTTGAATTGTCCTAAGTAGATACCTATCTAAGTCCATCTACACTTTTGTGAGAAAAAACGTCTTATCTTCTTAGAATCGCTCAATCGCAATCTATAAAAATACTTATTGAGTTTTAAATTTTGTTTTATTCTGTGGAAAAATGGAATTTTTCTGATGGCAGCAGTAAAGTTGGGCAAACTTGTGAAGCTCGTGAGCGCACATAGCGTTTTTAATTGTCATCATTCAGTTTCAGAGCAAATCCAATCACACAATTGGGATTAACGAAAAAACTACATTCTAATACATACATGCTTTAACAAAAAAAAAGTATATGAGAGCCTCTCAGTATTGTTTTTTCCTCAATTTTCCTTTCAATGCACTCAAGATGCATTTAGCGATGTGTAGCTTTGGCGTAAATACTGACAATCGGTCACCGACATAGGGTTGACTGGAAGATTGATTCCATTGATATGCGCATTTGCTGCTGGATTGCATTACCAGCTATGTCAAAATATCTCTCGTTTGTAGTGGTGTCTTTCACTGTTTCAATGAACACTGATGCCAATATCAGTATGTTCGTGCAGTCAGGCTTCACTAATTACACTGATTCGATGACGTCGATAGTCAGCTGACTGAAACTGCATATTCACAGGTGCATGTTTCATGAAAAAATATTTAGCTAGTATGTTTAAGATACGACGCAGGTTTTTTATGTTGATTCTAACGATACTATTGGTTTTGGTTTAATATTTATTTATGATGAAAAAGGATTGCGAAATACTAATGCATTTTTGAAAGATATATACGATTTTATCATTGATACTTAAAAAACTAGTTTCTCAATAATCAAACTAAGTCGAGAAAAGCTACATTGGTGTATTTGATACTCAAAATCCAGTTATTCTAATGAGATACAACACTCAGTTCGAACTCTTCTTATGAAAGACTAGATAAATCTATAAAGACGATGATTGACATTGGCTCTGACATGCACCTCTCGATGAAATTCTTTTTCCTTCATTTTCAAGGAAACGAGAGATGGTCGAGAAATTCGAAGCAGAAGAGCAAAAGCTTTTTCTACTAAGCCTTTCTTTGGATACGTAATGAAAAGTATCAGTTTAGAAATTATGAACAGTTCTTCTAATTTTTGTGATAGTGTCATGTGAAGCAAAGGTTGACACTTACCACTGTCTAAGTGATCATTCCTTTTCAGTAACAGAAAAACTAAAAATTAAAAGTATTTCTGCAAATTTTTCACCTTGAGAGTAAAAGTATTGTAATCGGTAGTACTTCTGAATACTCTGCTCGTATGTAGGACACTATAACATTTTTACTTTAACAATAAAACTTCAGTTCATATGTTCCGTATGTCATTGAAATACATGCTTTTTTGTAGTGTGAAAGTGAATATGGGCGTGGATGGAGAGAAGATCTATCAAATTCACACCCACAACTCATCCAACCACTACGAAAAAAAAGAAAAATAACTAATGTTAAAAGCTTGACTGGTGAAAATCTCACACATACTGTAAATACTTAAAAAATCCATTATCTCGCTCAGTTCATGCTATAGACAGCTCATATTTTAAATTTATTAGTTTGGCAGTGAGAGCTTCAATCGAACCTGAATACATCTAATGTTCTTTACTAATAGTACAAAATCTTCGATTGTTAGAGAAAATTTGAACCTTTCAAAACAATTGAAAGATGTATTATCCAACTGTATCGTATTTGGAAGAATCTTTAAAACATCGTCGTATTAGTTATATTAATTGAATGCAACTAACGAATAATAAACTTTAAGAAGAATGTGCTACGTGTGAATATGAATGAGAGAGAAAGTAGCAGAGTTTCGTTCGACTTTACACTGCAACTGGAATTTTTCACGACAATGTATAGAATAGGTATGCTGCAAAATTTATTTTTTGAAATGCAGACAAACTCACCAGTAACATTGAGGGTGACATTCATCCATTTAGTTGACGTTTTATTCTTTCCAATCACTGTATACACGCCTTCATGTTCTAGCTTTACACTAGGCACTGAGAATGTGTATCGCGCTTGTTTTACACTTGTAAACTGCACTGTTTCTCCATCTTTTGTCAGCTGAACTGTCGGTGTTTCCTTACCACTCACATCCACGGTAATTTCGAATGTTTCACCAATTTTCAAGCCGACTACATCCGATGTTGGTCTCACTTTTGACAATTTCACTGACTCCAGTACTGTAAGTGCACATGGAGTCGACTGTACTTCATCAACTTCGTTCTTCACTACGACTTGATAGGTTCCTTCGCACTGTGCCACTGTTGCCTGTTTGATCAACAGCCGGTATTCATTCTTCGCTTCGTCTACTAATGTATTCTCTGGTGCAATGGATTTATCATTAAAGAACCATTGAGCAGACGGTTGTGGTGATCCTCGAACAACCACTTTCAATGTGACACCTAGTCCGCTCATAATTTCTTGTTCTTTGGGCAACTGTGTGGTGATTATTGGTGCAGCAAGAACAGCAAGTTGAACAGTTTCTTCTTGACAGCCATATGGATTCTCGAGACGACATGTAATCGAACCTGCGTGTTGTTGTAGATCGATGTTCGGAATGGACAACTTGGCTTCATCAGTGGTAGCATCGAACTGCACGTGAACACCTTCTTTCGTTGTCAATGGTTTTCCATTAAGAAGCCATGTTATAGTCGGTGTTGGGTATCCATCAATCTTCGTCACGAATACTGCTGTTGTACCTTGCTTCACTTTTTGTGTTGTCAGCTTGACAATAAACACTGGTGATTCTACAAGGACATATGTTATTAAAAAACAAGAAAAATCAAGGTGACGTACTCGAAACAGTGACTTTGCACTTATTGGATTGAAGTGATCCACCAACATTGGAAATCTTGGCTGAATATTCACCTTGATCTCCTGGTTGTGCATTCAAGATAGCCATTGTGTATTTGTCATCGTTACCATTCGGTATTGTCACTTGAATGCGATCATTTGGTGTAAGTTCATTGTCGTCTTTCATCCAGACAATGTCAGGCTTTGGTGTTCCACTGGCGACGATTTTTAGTGCCATGGTTTCACCTTTTGTGACTTCCAGTGCACTATTGAGATTAGCGTTGATGACAGGTTTGATGCAATCAATCTTTAATGTTGTCTGAGCTTCAACTACACCAAAAGCATTGGTTGCTCTAGTAGTATAGACACCTTGATCGCCAAGTTCAACTTGACGAATTGTTAGTATCGATGTTCCATCATCAGTCTCCGTTACTTGCAAGCGATTGTCAGTTGGAAGTGGTTGATCATTGAAGAACCATGTTACACGTAGCTTCCCGATGCCACTGAACTGCCATGAAATCTGAGTATCTTTACCAAACATACATGACTGCTCGTTTACCGACGTTGGAGCTTCTACTTTGGGTGGAACTAAAAAATAATTAATCGTTCGTATTGTACATGGGAGATGATGAGAATACTCGGGACGTGGAAGTAGGTGAATTGAAGACCCACACCCAAACACTGCCACTCACACTATACTTTGTTTTTGTAGGTGTTTAGCTTAATCAGTTAAGTTGAACATTTTAGTGTAAAAAGCATTTTGTTCTCTAAGTACAAATTTACCAATCAGTTTTCGTTCAATCATTTTCTGTAGAGTTGAGTAATTGCACGTTTTCAAATATAGTACACTTCTCGCTCTCTTAATAAAGATAAGATGCAACCGTTCTGTTTGATGAATATGGATATACACAATTGCTAGCTTAGAGACATTTCTCTCAGATTTGGGATATTATTGGAACGTATCGTGAACCTCTATACCAGATATTATTCGTTACCAACTATTTGGTTTTTTAACTACGTGACCAGCATTAAGAATGATCAACTGTAGGAACCCATAAACAGGTTTTCACTTCACCTACACTCGAGGTGTATGCTCATTTCAATCAGCAATGGACAGTATATGTTAACTTTACTAATTTGGAACTCCATCAAATCACATTTTTTCTATTCAATATTGGATACTTAATCAGAATCAATTACTTCCACATTGTTTAGAACATAACAATAAGGGAAAAAGAAGAAATGCCGCCACAACATCCACTAATTTTTTCGTCATATATTGAATCAGATCCAAAATTTGACTTTTTAAAATAATCCATCAATAAGTAAATAATATAGTTTACTCCTTTTTTGCATTTTCATGGGATTGTCGTCCTATAGAAGGACGTGTGAAGAGAAAATCTATCAATCTCAATTGAAACTTCAGTTTTTCTCCCTTAATATGTCCTGATTGATCAATGGTTATTGATTTCTCATATAGCCATATCTTGATATCAAAAAGCAATTATTTTAGTAGAAAATAAAACTAAATCTAATTGAAAGAAAGTGAGTCTATATTGTTCACAATTTACTTATTAGAAAAAACAAGTTGTCCTATCTTGAGTAAGGTGCCATAAAGATTTAACTGATTTGAACTTTTCACCAGAGAAAATATTTCTTGCGGAAATACTGATCGCTAGTAAAGTTTGATCAGCAAGTATTTAGATTGAAAAATCTGAATCTCTGTGGATAATTAGGCAAATGATGCATCAGACTGCAGAGAGAATCTTTCATCCACAAAACCTTTGACGAAGTCATCGAAGAAGTTGTCACTTTTTGGAAAATAAAGGCTTACTTTTGTATTAAAATTTGATACAAAAAAATTTCGATTACTCATGAAAATAATTTTTTTGGCAGTAATTGTCTTTTATAGTGTAAGTCAAAGATGAAAAAATTTCAAGATCATTGTCATGAGGGGGGGGGGGTCTTATTGCATTGATATTACTGCATAGCAAATATTATTTTATTCATTGCAACTATCATATTTGTGATCAATATGCGTCAAATGACATATGTGTATGTGTTGAGATGTGAGGATGAAAATCAAGTTTTCTTTGAGTCTTTGGGCGTATATCTGGTCTAAAAAATCATGATATTACATATCGTCAATTGGAATTGCGCAACACAAAAATAACTCACATATGCAAACTGAATTGTCAATTTTCTTTGAAGGAACTTTTTTTACCGTAACAATATTTGCCTTTTAAAGGGATGAACAAACAAGGTGTTCAATTAAATCAAGTTTACCTTGCTTTCCAGATGTATCGCTAGACACAGGAATATTGTCTAGTAATGTTTTAAAAACTCTCGGTATTATTCTCTTTTTAACTGCTTGTAAACCTTGTAACCAACCATATTCAGCAACATTATCTAATGCTAATTCATACAAATTGTCTTTATCTGGAATTTTAATTTTTCCCAATAATTCAAATAATTTTGGACGATAGTATTCACGTAAACCTTGAAATAACACTGATCGCTTTTTATTATCAGAAACATTTTCTATAGATTTTAAACCATTATTAGTTATTGTACACCATAGATCATTGAATACATTTGTTTCATCCATACATGTATCATCAATACCTTCAAATAGAAGTTGCAAAATAATTGATAAGATTGGGCAATCTTTCAAGTATTTATTGCCATATTCAGCTGTACGTTTCAGAACAGAATCATAATTCACAGCATCTTTATATTCTTTTAAAAATAAGATAAACCATCCATTTGAAGAACCATATTTTACTTCCAATTGTTGTTCAAAGTATTTTTTCAGAGATTTCATCAGGTTGCCATCGTTTTCATTTATTGCTGCTTCATAGATGTCTGGTAGAAGGTCTTCCTCATACTTAGACAACGATTGTCGACCATATTCTAACAAATCATTTATAATTTTATCTTTTTTTTCATATCCGTCCAAGTCAAGAGCGTGTATTATTTCATTCTTGGCGAATTTTAATACTTCATCATCGTCGACATTGTCAAGCTTTCCTGTTGAAGAAAATTTGATTATTGATAAATTAAAAGAGAACGTGAGTATCGGGTGTGGCGGGGAACAAAGAGAAGATATACACTCGTGATCACACTCAAAAAATTGAAAGATTCAAAATATTCAATGAACGAAAGAAATGCACACCAGTGTACAATAGAACAAACCGATGTGGAAATTGTTCGCACTTATGAAGAAATGCTCCTTTCTGTTTCCAATCGCACACATCAAGACGAAATAGAACGAAATCATATACATATTTCTATCATTCACGGTACTTCTCCGTACACTTCCATTCAAATAGTCGTGTATCACTTACAATAAAAAAAATGATAGGGTTGTTTTCTATTCTTAAGTAATTTTTGATTTCTAATGGCCAAGGTAGAAACAGTTGAAGGATTTCTTCTTTGTTCTTATTTAATCTCTTCTCGCTTAAATCGACACAAAGGATGCCTTTTTTTATTGAAAAGAAAGCATTTTGTTTGACTTTTTGAGTTATGAGACATCTCTGCTGTGAACGAAACTATTTCCTGTCTTTGGAGTGTACTGTTCATCCCCAAGAGTGTACAGACGAATTCATGGTAGACGTTCTCTATCAGCAAATGACTGAGAAAAAAATCAGAGAAACAAATAGAAACCAGAAGATGATTGATTGTGTAACTCTCTCGTACAAATCATGACGTCACTACAGTCAGTAGCTACGGATGAGGAGTAGTTGCGGGTGCCTGCATGTGTTTTGACCTATTCATTGCTCACATCCATCTCGACAGTTACATAGACGCCAATGAGGATATCCACATCTGCACTCACACCATCATTGACTGATTAATCATTCTGTGGATACTAATTAGTCAATCTCTAGCTTGAAGAATAATTCAGTTAACACTTTAGCTTTGACTTAAAAGTTAAAGTTGAAGTTCTACTTCAAATTTTACCAGTTAAAGCTGAAGTCGATAGGCACGGTTGAGTGTTAATGTTGGTTTAACTAGTGATAATCAAACCACTCACATCTATCCTTGTGAAAAAAAAGAAACCGATCGTTCACGCATATCGTTGAGTTACCTGCGTCAGCATGTGTAGTACTAAAATCGGATGACAATGGCTCTTCCATCGTTTTCTGGATGTTATGATCAGTTGTAATTCGAGAAATAAGTTCATCAAGCTGAACAACAACAGCTTTTACCTATCAAGGAGAAATCATAAAATGCAATCGAAATCATTTATCTTAGATTTACTTTTGTGAAGCTACAAGCCCATTGTTCATTACTTTTTTTATCCATGCAGTACACATAAATTGATACAACTTGTTGAAGATTGTGAACAGAAGGTACTATTTCTTTTCCCAATCGACCACTAACAATTATTATTAGTCGATCTTTTCCTAATCGTTCTTCAATATATTTCTGACACTGCTTTTTATCTTGAAACTTCTCAAAATGCTTAACAATAGAAGCCAATTTTTGCTCTGCATTGCGGCGCTCATTCGTGTTCACATTAGCATCAAGCCAAATGATGCAGGAGATGTCATGACCCATATTATCGGCGTCTTTGTGAACGTCTTCAGATGCTAGAATAGTAGTGTCGATGTTCATGAAGAAGAATAAATAGAATAGATATATTGAATGTTGACTATTCGATTTAGTTATTGAATGTATAAGCGCTTTTGGCACTTAAAAACGATTATTACACTCTCAATTGTATCATTTTATTTATTAATATTCATAATATTGTTTTTGTTTCTAATTTTGATGTAAAGAGAAGATAAGAGTAGAATGCTTGAATTCGTCGAAGAAAACAAATTACTTCAGACTCTTTACTTTTCTATATAAGATTATCGATTTGAAGTGTAAAATTTTAGCATCGATCGAAATTATTTCTATTTTGTTTAGTCAGCTAAGAAGGTTCTAAATCAAACTGTATTGTAGCGTATTAAGATCACTCCTATCATTAGATAGTACAAAATCCTACAGTCAAATTAACAGAATCTGTCAAATTGATATGTTTTTGTTCGTAAACAAGTGTCGTACATCCAAAAAAAAAATGCTATTTCTTATCTAATTGCAAAAGCTTTAATATTTCACAGAGTTGTACAAACTGACATAGGAATACACAATAAGTTCAACTTTGCTATAAAAATTTTTCGTCTTCGTTGAGTTTTTCAAATATGTAATAGCAAAATATGACTTCCAGTCTTCATTCTTCAAATATTACTAAAGGTTTCCAATGAGATGATTGTCGTTAAGAAGACAGACTTTTCTTCTCGAAGACTTCTCTCGGATCGAAAAGATGCTACAAAAAAGAAGATTAATCTTTGTTATATCAGAGTGAAGAAATCAGTCTCTTCACATATGACATCTACTTCTCAGAAGAAAGTCTTTTCTGAATAAAAAGTTCGTCCTTGTGATTCTGTTAACGATGAATATTCGATGATATTCTACTCATATTTCAGATGAATGCATACAATCAAAGAAAAAGATTTCATCTTGATTTTATTTTTCTAAAACCAATGAATGCACTAACAGAGTCTGCTTTGTTTGAAGGCACAAAAGAAGCGAATAGACCATTTATGTTTATGAAACGTTGTAAGGAGATCTGTTGTTATTTCATAAAAATCAAGATATATTTTGAGCAAAAAACGATACTACTTTTTTTATCGTAGACAACGATCGACAGTTCCTTTTTTTCTACTGTAACTCCACATTAGAGTGTAAGTTTTGTCATTCACTCAGGAGTATTCATCATCCAAAAACTAGAAATTCAAGGCATTCTACAATAAGAGAACTTGAAACACTATCATACAAAGCCGCACTGATAGGTTTACAAAAACTGACACATATAATCTCCATGCAAGCACCAAAACACTACATTCCACTTGATTTTCTTAAAACTTCAGTTTCTGAACGATGCTTATGTCTCTTTACATCCGAATAATCTCTCACTTTTACCAGAATCACTTTCAAAAATGACAGAAAAATTGAAAAGTCTTACAAAGAATATCTCGAGTACTTTTTGGTTTCTAAGAATCGAATATGTAATTTGTTTACATAGTCAACTCATATAATAAGATACGACTAGACCTACGAGAGCTTCCAGTTCAATGAAACTATTCTTTTTTTCAGATCTGCGACAGTTGAAGCCCATAAGTTCAGGTGAACTGCCAGAGATGCGATCAGTTCATGTTTCTTTAGAACCGAGCCAGACGTACTTAAATTTTTCAAAAATTCCAACGGAACCGATTTTGATTTGATTCAGTATGGTTAGGTCTGAAACCAAGTCGATCCCATCTCTGTGAACCACCCCAAAGAACTTTTAAAACTGATCAGTTTCTTTCAAAAGAACTGTTAGAAATGTAAATTTGTCTTGATCAATGATCGGAAATAACCTCACAATTTTAATTATTCATGTACACGTAGAAACGACGACGAAATGACAAATTTGGTTGAATATATTATTCAAAATAAATATCGATGGTAGAAAAATACAGGACACTTATTTAACAGCACAAAAAGATTGCGTGGTTGAGAAATATTTAATCCTCAAATGAAAACGTCGCATAATCGCTATTTTGAATAGAGATGCTCATGATAGTATTTCAGGTCATAAATTATAATTATTTCATATAGAGCTATAACTCAAGTTATTTGGAAGAAAAATGACAAGAAAATAATTAAAAGGATCGAGCAAAATAAATGACAATCACAGTATTGTTCTAAGTATCTATGCGTGTTATTGTCCTTTCGAAGCAAAGTTTTCTCATAAGAAGATTCATCATTCAATTCCCTAGAAAATTTTGTATTTCTATGAATAAAAACGTACTTTATCATTCTTTGACACGAAGCACAAGCAATGACTGGAAAACGTATAACTTTGTTAAGTTAGTTTTTTTTTTTATGAAAATTTCATTGTAAAAGGTTTTAATCATTCCAGTTATATTATTAACTTCCTTCTTTTAATATTCTTGACTTGAATATTTTATTTCATATTGAATAATTTAGCTAATTTGTAAACTGACTATTGGAGTATTAACAAGAAGTGACATATCTCACATTCATGCTAATTATGAAATGTGAGTGTCAAAATTATTTAAAATTTCAATTCTTCAAAATTTTGAAAATTTCTACTGATTGGAAAAATTCCTCGATATAAACTTACTGTCTTGAAGATGGATGAGGATGTTAGTGTTGGTGTGTGATGATCTTTTCCACACTTACATCTCATACTAGCACCTTTCTCAAAATATGTTCAATAACAAACAAGATATTTACAGTTACATAGGTGCTGGTGATAAGGAAAGAGCTACTGAAGAATATCTTCTTCTGTTTTA